TGAAATAAAACTGAGTATAACAGAGGCACCTGCCTGAAACTTACCCACTTGTACGCATCTTGTTCTCTGAACTTATCAGTGCTGTGGCAAGGTACTCCTTGAAATATTTACAATCAGAAACAGCTATGATGCACTATGACTAGGTTCTGACTATTTTTTTTCTTTTTTTTTTTTATTGAATGGTAACTATGTACATTAATGCACTTCTGGGGTACAGTGTGGGGTTTTCACATGCAATCTGAAATACTTCCATCAAACTGGTCAACACAGCCTTCATGTCAGGTTCTGACTATTATCAATACATATCATCACTATTTTCCAAGTAAAACTCACAAGGCTGCATATTTTAAGAAATGCTGAACAAAGTATATTCAGCTTCTTGTATGATGAATATTTAAAAATTGTCACAATGAAAAGCCTAATTTTTCTCCCAATAAGGAAAGTATTTTTCCTTTTGAATTAAAAACATTTATCAATGTTGCTGGATATAAGATCAACAGACAAAAATCAATTCTGTTCATTTATCCCCGCACATGCAGTCAGAAAATATAATTATTAGAAACTTGGTATTTCTAATTATAATGGAAATTTATATCTAGGAAGAAATATAACAAAAAGTGAGTCTGACCTTATGGAGAAAATTATATTTCATTCAAAGATATTAAAGACGACCCAAGTAAATGGAGAGATAACCTATGACAATAGATAGAAGAGTCAATACTAGAAAAAGGAGTAACTTTTCCCTAAATTAATCTAAAAATTTAACTCAGTTCAAATGGAAAGTATGACAGGCAATTTCTTTTTTGTTTGTTTCTGAGACAGAGTCTTACTGTGTCACCCTAGGTGGAGTACTGTGGCATCAGCCTAGTTCACAGCAACCTCAAACTTCTGGGCTCAAACAATCCTCCTGCCTCAGCCTCCCAAGTAGCTGGGACTACAGATGCTTGCCACAATGGCCAGCTGCTTTTTCTATTTTTAGTAGAGACAGGGTTTCACTCTGGCTCAGACTGGTCTCCAACTCCTGAACTCAAGTGATCCACCTGCCGTGGCCTCCTAGAGTGCTAGGATTACAGGCATGAGCCACTGCGTCCAGTGGAGTCTCCTAGGTTGCTGGTCAGCAACAAAAATGTGGTTCCAGCACAAACAGTAGATGCAGAAAGCACCTGCTTGTCAGCTCTCAACCCAGCAGCGGTAGCAGCTTCCTGATCTCTAGGTAACTTCTCCATTTTGTTCCATCACTCCTTCCTATGCTTTTGTAACTGATTCTTGAATTAAATTCCTCTCTGTCTGAAGTATTTCAGATGTTTTCTGTTTTTCTGACCAGACACTGACTGATGGGATTTGAGCCCTTATGACAAGAGACATCAGAGAGATCTTTCCACGTACATATGCACAAGGAAGAGGCTACACTCATTCACGGTGAAATGGTGGCCACCTACCGGACGAGAGGAGAGACCTCACAATGAAACGTACCTTGCCAGCATCTTGACGCTGAACTTCTTGGGCTCTAGAACTATGAGAACTAAATTTCTGTTATTTAAGCTACACAGTGTGTGGTGTGTTGTATGGCCACCCACGCTGACTAAGGCAATAGGCAAAAAAAATGTAAAGAAATGCCTCCAAATTCATATTCTGAAATTCCAGTCCCCAGAATGTAACCATATTTGGAGATGAGGTCTTCAAAGAGGTAATTCAAGTGAGGCCATTAGCATGTGGCCCTAACCAAATGTCACTGATGCCCTTAGAGCAGCGGTTCTCAACCTGTGGGTCACAACCCACAGGAACTGTATGAAAGGACCGTCTCATGAGGAAGGTTGAGAACCACTGCCTTAGGGGAAGAGGTAGAGACACCAAGGACAGCCACGCTCAGAGGGACGGCCACGGGAAGAAGGGTCGGGAGGGTGGCCAGCTGCACATCAAGGAGAAACCTTGGAGGAAACCAACTGTGCTGGCACCTTGATCTTGGACTTCCAGCTCCCTGAACACTGAGAAAATGAATTAATTTCTGTTGCTCAAGCCACCCAGTCAGTGATTTCTTTACTATTTTAGCTCCAGCAAACTAATACAGAATATAGAAGTAAAGTCAAGAAAATGTCAAATATTAACTAAGAGGAAAAAATTTAAATGACAGTAAAAGAAAAGAAAAAGTCTGAGGTTTAAAAAAAAGGAAAGGGAGACAAAATAAGAGGTGAGAAAAAGGCTAAAGAAATGTCTTCCTCCTTTCTTCTCCTACACACGCGGATCCTCCTATCTGCCTTTTTTTGCTTTTTTTCATAAAGGGACAAAAGGTTGGGGTTTTATTTATTTATTTTTTTACAAGTAGAAAGTCCATATGAAGAACTGAGCAGTTACCCAGGGAACTCGATTAATATAAAAAGTCTGTAATCCAGGTCTCATCCCTCCTTTTTTCCCTTTAGTTATGCTTTAAAGAAAAAAATCACATCTCTGTAATCGCCTTCTTTTACTCGCCTCTGCAGATAACACCAATGCTTTGTCCATCCAAATGTCTGGACATAAGACACATCCAACAGCAAATTTTCAAGAGCAAAGATAAAAAGTGAACTTATGATTTAACCACAATAAGAAAAAGCCCAAAACTTCTGGGGAACTTACTATAAATCTGAAATGCATTCTTCTAACACAGCGGTTCTCAGCCTGTGGGTCTCGACCCCTTTGGGGGTTGAACGACCCTTTCACAGGGGTCGCCTAAATACATCCTGCATATTAGATATTTACATTACAATTCATAACAGTAGCAAAATTACAGTTATGAAGTAGCAACGAAAGTAATTTTATGGTTGGGGGTCACCACCACATGAGGAACTGTATTAAAGGGTCGTGGCATTAGGAAGGTTGAGAACCGCTGTTCTAACAGATAAGATTCTGACACAATTTGAAGCTATAATGTGAGGATATTAAACTATTTTTGAAAGACTATGCTTTTAAGTGAAGTTGGAGGAACAAAATTTAGTTTAAAAAAAAAGTAAAAATCATCATGTAAACGACTTGCAAAATGTTGACATTGGCAATAGATCCAAACGGCACTTGAAGTCAATTTCCTGGATGATCTACAACTCAAAAAATTTGCAATGAACCAAAAGGCCACAGTTTCTCCCTACTATGAGAGAGACTTAAGGAGAGAATCTGGTAAATTTAGAAAAAATAAGAATATGACACTGGAAAACTCACTCTTGGACCCTGGCAGGTGTGTGTCCATTACCTGGACCAAACACAAGCACCTTCAAGCATTCTTGCTCAAGGTCCTGAAAACCGACACACCTTTTTTGTAGCTCTGGGTTTTTATGGGTCCATTATGAGGACAAACATATAGCACAGGACACTTCTGAATAAGACTTGCATGATTCTCAGAAGAGAGGAAAGAACAACAGAAATGGAATCTTCAAGGGGCTTTGTCAAAAAGAAACCCACTCTCCCACAGCCCCTTCCCAGATTTCACTGAAGAAACCGGGAGGGGCAGCACTGATATAGATGGAAGCATGGGGAATCCCTCGGACCCACGTGGTGGTGTTAGAGGAGTGGGTGGAGGTTGAGAATCAATGACCACATAGAAAAACAAATGTCAAGAAATATTTTACAGAAGAGGAAACCAGGTTTTAAAAAATGAGAATTCTCTACTTTATGAGTAGGACCACCCTCCCCGCCCCTGGGCAATTGAAGCAACACCAAAAATACATTACTGGGATCTGATCAAACTAAAAAGCTTCTGCATAGCCAAGAACACAGTAAGGAAAGCAAGCAGACAGCCCTCAGAATGGGAGAGGATATTTGCAGGTTATGCTTCTGACAAAGGTTTGATAACCAGAATCCACAGAGAACTCAAACTTATTAATAAGGAAAGAACAAGTCATCCCATTTCATTGTGGGCAAGGGACTTGAACAGAAGCTTCTCTGAAGAAGATAGGCACATGGCCTACAGACACATGATAAAATGCTCATCATCTTTAATCATCAGAGAAATGCAAATCAAAACCACTTTGAGGTATCATCTAACTGCCATAAGAGTGGCTCATATAACAAAATCCCAAAACTACAGATGTTGGCGTGGATGTGGAGAAAAGGGAACACTTCTGCACTGCCGGTGGGAGTGCAAGCTAGTACGTTCCTTTTAGAAAGAAGTATGGAGAATACTCAGGGATCTAAAAGTAGACCTGCCATTTAATCCTGCAATTCCTCTACTAGGTGTATATCCAAAAGACCAAAAATCACTTTATAACAAAGATATTTGTACTAGATTGTTCACTGCAGCTCAATTCATAATAGCCAAGTCATGGAAGAAGCCCAAATGCCCATCACCCCATGAATGGATTACTAAATTGTGGTATATGTATACCATGGAATATTATGCAGCCTTACAAAAGATGGAGACTTTACCTCTTTTTACATTTACATGGATGGAGCTGGAACATATCCTACTTAGTAAAGTATCTCAAGAATGGAACAAAAAATATCCAATGTACTCAATACTATTATGAAACCAATTTACAATCACTCACACTTTCATATTAAGAATAGATCACAACTATGGCCCAGGATGAAGGAGGGAAGAGGGGGAGATGGGGGAGGGGGAAGGTCAGATCGAGGGAGGTGAATGGTGGGATCACACCTATGGTGCATATTGCAAGGGCACATGTTGGATCTATTAAGCATAGAGTATAAATGTCTTAACACAATAATTAAGTAAACAAGATGAGGTATATATTAACCAGAGTGATGTAAGTGTTCCTAATTTTATATGAAATCAGCATATTGTACCCCATAAATGCATTAATGTATACATGATCTATGTTTATGATTTAATAAAAAAAATTTTAAGAAAATAAAATGAGAATTCTCATCTTTTTTTTTTTTTTTTACTTTTACAAAAACAATTGTTTTAAAACTTTCTTACAAAATTAAAAAAGAACACATAAACAACATGTAGGAGATGGGACTAATATCCCTCTAATACAAAGGCATTAACATAAACAATACTTCAGGTGCTAGATAGCTCGGGTGGCACTTTTATTCCCGGGGTTAATCGCTTCTGTTTTTTCCAACTCACTACTACAAGTTACAGAACGTCTTTTACTTGAACTTGTATTAGTTTTTGACTCCAGTCGCGCAGCCTCCTCCCAAGTAGCTGCCAGCGGCTTCCCGAGGGTTTCTGGAAGCTTTAGTGTGAGCACTCCACTTATAAAGGATGTAAGCCCAACAAGCAACTAGAAGAAATTAAAAATAGTAAGAATGATGATAAGTGACACACCAGAAAAGAAATACACCTTCAGAGAATGATAATTTCTGAACCTTTTTCAGGGGGTAAAAGAATTGAATTTGACCTAACAGTTGTTACTCCTTCGTGAGACCTTTGGTTACTTACACTGGACTGGGAATTATTAAACTCATCAACCAGACTTGAGCTGATCTCTCATTCATTCATTCATTCATTCATTTATGAACCACTGTGGAGCGCCTCCTCAACAGCCAGCCTCTGCCAAATTCTTATTCCTGTAGGCACTGTCCTGGGAGTGATGGTCACAGAGAACAAAGACTCTGACCTATTTTCCAGACCCCAGAATCTTGTGGAGGGGTCAAACAACCCAGCCTGAGTTGGGACTCCCCAGTCAGGGCCTGTGTTAGTCCAGCCTGTCCCTGCCTCAATAATCAGCAGACTAAATGATGTGGAATGAATGAATGAATATAGGCCTTGATAAACAGAACCTACAGTATTTAAGGAGAAACAAAACAAAGGCAATAAAAACCAACTGCTACTCTGGGTGCTGGGAAAGAGTCCATCTGATTTCCTTTGAAGTTCTGTATGACTTCTTTACTTTCCAGATTTTGACACACAAAAAGGCAACCTTTTAGACTAGCACCAAGGTGTCTGCTTTTCAAAAATTCAAGTCACATTAAAAATTAAAGTCTGGGCTCGGCGCCTGTGGCTCAAGTGGCTAGGGTGCCAGCCACATACACCTAAGGTGGCGGGTTCAAATCCAGCCCGGGCCC